AGTGTTTGCTCAGGGAAATGGGAACTAGTGTGCTTGACTGCATTGGGAACTCTTCTGAAATAAAGTATCTTATGAGATTCTAAGTCACTTAGGCTCTCTTAAAATTGTCATCAAGGTAACAGCTTTGTTAGAGGAGGCCATGGACAGAACGAACTCAAGAGTTTGATTTCATGTTGCTCATATATGCTTTGCTGGTTAAATATGCAGATTCCTCAAGTAAACACAGTTTCTTTCAGATGGTAGAAGAGGATGGACTTTGTTTTGGAAGTTTTTATTTCTCAAATGTCCTTGGCCAATATATTTGGGTAATAAATTCATACCTTACCTGCAGTTCTTATAATTGCTATCTTTGATTAGTAGCAGATCAAGGAAGTTTGGACCGAAAAGTCTCTCTATTGATTTTGTGAGGGACAGAGAGAGTGAAAAGTAGTGCAGAATATCCTGGGAGGTTTTGTAGCTCTAATACACCAAAAATTAAGAAGCTATAATCTCTTGGGGCAGCCTGCTGTTAGGCTGTAGAAATTAGCCTTCCTAGACTTTGACAGAATTATGCTTTCTGACCCATTGCACAGTGTGCACCTAGAATATCCGTCTTGCATCTGATTAGCGTACCTCAGAGATGTAAGAAAAAATACAATTCACATTGACAAACTTCAGAATTGACTTTACAGAAGCAAAGCTCCTGAGCTATCTGATGGCTACTGTTAACCAGCCTAAGTAGAAGATTTTTCCTTTGACGGGTTATGAAAATACAGAAATCTCTTATCAGTTATTCTTCCGCTTTTCTTTTGTTTCCTTAATCGTTAGTATGTACTATCAAGAAAATGTGACAGTATGTAGGTGATTGCTTTGGGAGCTATGAAAAATTTTCTTCCTTTGATGCTACATACAGATGAACGCACTGTAAGACTAGCATCTTTCAAGCCATTTCTGATAATCAGTATGGGAACTTAAAGATAAAAAGGCCCAACCCTTCCGCTGGTGATTGAATAGGATTAATTTCTGCAGGCAGTGGTTTCTTGCATGAGCAAAGATTTCAAGTAGATAAAAAATTTAAACCTACCTACTAGACGGGGGTGGGGGGGGAAAGCTTTTTAATTTTGAATGATTTACTGTTCTCCTCGGCATATGTGAGGTTTGCCATCTGCAGCTTCTGCTACGTTACACTGTTGCCTCAATGAATCAGAGATCTAGTTTTCTTCTTAATTGTTAAATACAATTTAAATTACGTTAATCCCTTTTTGAAAGGGTAATAATACCTTCGGTACCTTTGTGAGCTGACGTTTAAAATAAATCTATATTACATTAGCTTTCATCTAGGTTCTAGAGATACTAGGGAAGGCAAAACTTATCATTTAAGCTTTTGTGATCTGTTTTGTATTTAAAAATGTATGTAAGTGGAAACCAAATGAAAAGGGGATTGACCAGAACTTGGCACAAACCAGTGACAGAAGGAGAGTTTTCCTTTGCAAATACAGTTGTATTAAGGTCAAAGAAAAATTACATTCAGCAAAAGTTGAAAACACCTGCTCATAAACAAAGATCAAGTGCTGATCTTAGGTCTTAATTCTTTGCTTTCTTCGTTTGGGCTAAACCTTCCCTTCTCTGAAAAAGCAGAGGACCACCGACAGGAGGAACAGTTCAGAAAGCAACAGAAAGGAGTCCTGTTGTACTGCGTGGCTTTGTTTCCCACACTGGAGGCTTCAAAGATGGTCAAAGAACAGTAATATGTCCTGGGAGTCTTTTGTTAGGCAGGACCACTGGCCTCCGAAGTGCAGAACTAAAGGAAGAAGCGTGGAAGAGCGCTGTTTCCTCTCCAGAGATTGTAGAGGGTTTCAGTTCCATCATTAAAAAAGCCTGGCTACTCGGGTTTGCCATTAAGGGAGGTCTTCATTCCTGATTTTGTCGTAGATATTGGAATAGATCTTTCCCTCAAAATATTTTTGTAAAGATGGTAGAGTCTAAGCAGTTGGAAATCAAAAATAATCCTCTATCTGTTTTATTTTTCAGTGTATCAAGACTTATTTTTGTGCGACACCTCGGGGGTGTTCTAGCGGTGGCTAACATCAGGGGCGGTGGTGAATATGGAGAGACTTGGCACAAAGGTAAATCAGTCCAAGTACAGGAACAAAACTGCAGGCAATGAAGCTGACGACGTTTTCTCACTCCCTCTTCCATACACGCGTCTCCTTTTGTCTTGTATTAATTCACGTAGGAAAGTCCATTTTTTTCTTGCTCATAATATTAAATCTGCAGTTCACCCAGTGTTAGCTGAGAGTTAGATTGTTTCAGTTTTTGCAGCCTACTTTAAAAGTCCTGTTCTGCACAAATACAATGTTTTCCTAGAAAATTACTGCATTTTTTCAAAACAGGATCAAGTTCCTGGACTTTCAGGATTTGAAAATGCAGTTATTTATCTTCAGTGATTTTCCAAAAATGTCTCTATATTACAGGAGCGCTGTGCTGTTTTCACATACCTCTTTTATTTATTATTTGCAGATGCACATATGGCAGAATCCAGCTGTGCCCCACATATTTGCAACTCCCTGTTTGTCATCAGGGCTTTATCTTTTAAATGTGATATCTAAACTACATGCAGACGTTGCCCTATGTTAAGGTCTTTAAGTACTTGGGCTACAGATCCTAAATCTAGTCCTCTGCTTTTGAGAGCTGACCTCACAATTCTAGATCCCCCAGGTCATCACCATTGACTGTTTAGACTCTCATAGTATCCTACAAAAAAAGGCTATGTCATCCACTCCACACGATCTTAGGAGGTCCAACTTTCTGTAGGCAAGCATTTTATCTTCCCTTTTTTTTTTTTTTTTTTTTTAGCAGACTGATTGATGCTGCAAGGAAACTCACCACAAAATCTTGTCCACCTCTTTGCTTAGCATCTTTGATATATTTCTCTCCAGTCTTTCCACTTCCAGTCCTTGTTCTGATTCTTTCATTGCCTTTGTTGACTTGCCTTATTGCTGACGATGTTCGACATCTCTTCACCAGGGGAAAAAGCTGGAGAGGGTCGCACTCAGCTCAGTAACACATCCACCGTTATTTAAGTGATGATGTTTTACTCACATTTCTGGAGTTTCGTGGATAAGTTGCTGGAGCAGGGTGAATGTGCCAGAGTAGTGGTGGTTATGATGCAGCACTTTGCAATGGGAATACTCCATAATAACTTTTTATTAAACAGAATGGGATTCCCAGATCATTACAGCTTGGTATTACCATTTCATCTGCTCTAACTCCTTTGTCTGGATCATTTCCTCACAATTGAGTTAAAGATCTAATGGTTTCATAAATAGAAGCCACATATGCTCACGGGTACAGAATATTATTGCTGAGGACGAAGCATCCTTGCATCCTTCATTAATTTAATTTGCTTGTTGGTTTGTAATAAGTTTTAATAAAATTTATCTTAATATGACAATGCTTCTTTAGTCTACCTATTTCCTGTTTAATTTTGACCTGAGTCTTTTATTGCAGTTACATAATTAGATATGTATCTGTTGTTTGTTAATTCTAGAAGCAATTACAGAGGTCTGTTTACTTAGATTTGCAACCTAATTGTGTAGATAGGATTCTGACCTTACCCCAGACTAAAACTTTTAGCAAAGAGAAAGATTTCTCTTCAATTTTATTTTCTCTTCAGTTTCTCCATTCTCTTCAATTCTCTTCTTCAATTTTTATTTTTTATTGCCACACTTTTGAAGATATTTTAATTTTCCCAATATGTCTCTTTACAGTAGTCTTTTTTAATGTGAGAATTATTTGTATCAATAAAAAAAAAAGTTTACTGATCTCAATTCTAGAAGATGTGTACAAGTAAAGTTTGAGACTTTAGCAACCTAAACATGAAGCATTCTGTATAAGCTGGGTTTTTATGTTCACTGAATGGACAATGGCAATAGAGACACCTCTGGATGATAATTCATGCCTCTCATTTTAAGATGCAGTTAATTGTCCTGGAGGTTCCTGGAGTGAGAGCCTAGACGATCAGCTTGGAGTAAAGACCCAGCTCTTAAACAAAGTGAAAGGGATTTGAGTTCTACTCCCCCAGATGTCTGCACACACACATATACGCTGAACTGTACCACAGGCTTTGCTACAGGAACACCAGGATTTTCTTCCCGATTCCCATTTCTTGCTAGCATTTAATTGCCTGAGAAGGAACTCACCATACGAGGTCTGGGGTAGAACATGTAACCTTTGAGGAGAAGCTATTTTTACAGTCTCTTACCAAACACGAGCCTCTAAAGAAGGTAGATTGTGATACTGTGAGATTTGGTCACCTGAATTCTCTAGATTGATCTTCTGCTCAAATAGTAGAAAGATTTTAGGGCAAGACCATCTTTTCTCTTCCCCATCCTACTGTGAAAGAATTTTTGTCTTGAGATCTAGAAATCTTACCTGTTATATCATCTATACTTACACTTTCCATGATGAGTTATTTCCTCTTATGTCTGCTTGTGTTTGGACTTTTGTTTAACAGGATTGCACCATCTTAAACGTTTCAACATTAGTAGTTTGTTAATAAAATGTAAAACCAACATGTATCTCTAAAGTCCTTTTTTGACAACAGCTATATATCATTCAATTTGAAAACAAATGATAGAAAAAGGTAAATTACCACCCACACATCCTATGGCCAGGAAATTGTAAGCACTTATTTTATACAGAAGAAAATGTGAAGCTTTCTTGTCTTAAGAAACCATCACCGAATTTAATGCTGTTAAGTCCCATTAGATCAAGCCTCAAGTGGAGTGCCTGTGGTCATTTTGTATATATTTTGCAATGCAAAGCTTTTAGCTGAAATTTTACTGGTTAGGAACGTTATCTGGCACTCACTCCACAATATAGGTATGTATTATTCAGACTTTCTGAAAGCATTAGAGCTATCGACAGAACCATCTTAAGACTCTTTGTGTTGAAAGGATCTCATTTTGCTGTTGTTCTCAGCTGCATCAATTATTAAAATGTTCATGAAACTGGAATTGTTCCCAGGTATTTCTGCACACATGTCTGTCTGAAGAGACGGTCTCAAATGGATTTTATGGAATCAACTGATTTGTTTTATTTGTGTACTAGGTGGTATCTTGGCCAACAAACAAAATTGCTTTGATGACTTCCAGTGTGCTGCCAAGTACCTTATCAAAGAGGGCTACACATCTCCAAGGAAGCTGACTATTAATGGAGGCTCAAATGGGGGCCTCTTAGTGGGTAAGAACTTCTTGTACGTTTCCTAGGTTTGGTGCTGGAGTTTATCAAAGTAACCAGGCAAGGGATGTATGAGATCCTCTTTCCAAAAGTTGCCAGAATGTCATTGCATTAATATAAACCAAATGTTATACAGTTTTACTTTATTTGCTGCTTGTATATGCTGTTTGTATTTGCTGTTTGCACTGGGATATTGCGGTTTCTAGCAAATGCTGACTGTTTACTGTCCTGGTTTGTGTGCTAGAGCTAACCCTGTGTTAGTCACACAATAGTTAAGAATGCTTTTTAAAAAAATTGTTTTTACTTTTTCTTTCTTAAAGATTAAAAAAATAATTGAATAACCAGAAATCTTTTATATAGCACAAGGAGACATTCTGTGGTCTGTTGTGTAAGGCAGAGCCCCACGTTCTGGAGTCCTTCATCAGACCTTCTCAGTCAGTCTTTCTGTAGTTACCCATTCTCATTCATAGAGGGAAAATGAAAACATGACAGTTCAGCATTTAAGACCTTTGTACAGGGATAAGTAATAATTTGACGCTAATTTCATTTGTAGAGTTAAAACATGATTACAAATAAAACCATGAATGTGTCCGGTGAGAAATGCAAAATAGTAAGTGCAGCTACTTGAAACAGCCATGAACTTTGTTGCATTGTCACAGATGCATCATATTCACATATTATTCGCTGGTCTGTTCCTAAATTCCTGGAAAATAATAGCCTCTTCTTAAACAGAAAAACTTTTCACAAAAAGGTCTCATAGTCTAACCAGCATTTACAGAGCTACAAAATTTGTCTCTGACTAAATCCCTCTCTCTGAAGGTAGAAGAAGAAACAGTGGGGTGAGGGAGTTTATTCAGTCTTGAAAGAGGGAAACACAATGAATGATATTTGAGTTTGTTTGGATTTGTTTAAAACAGTATGAAAAGCATGTGACGGTGTGACGGAGTCAAGCTCATGAAGTGAGAGGAAGAAAAGCATATTTAAAGTTTACAAATCACTGATTTATAAAAAATGAGCAGATTTACTAGGCTCACCCTGTGGATGCTCTTTTTTTTATACTGTATTTTTTTTTTTTTTTTTGACATGAACTACCATCTAGTATAGGAAACAGGATTTGGAGCTAAACAGATATTTTCTCTGAGCCAGCTTGGCCGTTCTTCCATTTTTATTTAAAGAAAAGAAATGTATTAAAGATTATTAACGTCTTAGAGTACGTGTAAAGTTTTATTTTGGCTTACTGCATATATGCTTCTCAGTTGGAGATGGCAAGAGTTATTTGTAAGTAAGTGCACAAATAGAAATGGTTGAATATATAAAGGGTTAAAGGGTCTGCATATCACTGTGAGTGCAAGCATGGAACAAGTCTGTTCTATGTGGGCATAAAAATCTACTTGAAAATTCAGTTAAACTTTCAACTGCAATGCAGTTGTTACGTAGCTTCTGAAAACAGTGTTTTATGGTTACCTGGGCTTTAGTTTCAGTCAGGATGGGATTTGTCCTGCCCAACTTATCATCAGAAAAGTTGTGTGTCTGCCTGAACTAGTCAGCTGAGCTCCTTTAGGTAAGGGAAAGCAAGTGGCATCTGCAGAGAGCAGCTCATTCCGGTACAAAACAGGTGAGATGAATCTAGACCTCACTGCTGTGAAAAAATCTGTTGTTAGAAAATTTCCATTGCGATTGCAGATTGACTGCAATCCAGCTGGGTTTCCTCATTCTTCATGAGCCACGTAAGGGTTTTGCTTGACTGCGTAAAACTAAGTGAATATTGGAAATGTTTATAAGTAATTTTTCTTCAAAGCAGAACTAAATTCTCAAGAGTGAGTAGCTGTTCATATCACACTAGAGAGTGTTACTGATGCTTTAGATGTAATGACCCAGTGCCAGATTTTCTTACTCTACACTTATTGAAGAAAAAACACTGACAAGGAAGAGTATTGTCATTCTTCCAAAATACTGTTTCCTTTTAGTCTAATTAACAGGAGGTGACTCTGAGGAGTGCAGAGCTCTGATCTCCTGGTTCATTCAACTGCAAAACAAGACTTCCTTGTCCTGCAGAGTGGGATCCTAAAGCTCAGTAGGGCAGCACAGCTGTGAGGTGAAAGCCTCCTTCATGCAAATGCAGTTTGACCTCTTCTGTTTGCTTAGGCAAACGGTTCTGAGGTTTTCAAATCTTATCTTCGTAATGAATTTGTGTTTAAAAAAAAAAAAAATGCAAAATATGTGTAGAGGGTAAAACTCATGAAGAAATTGTCGTATCAAGTTGCAGTTTATTAATGCGTATAGTTAATTATTGTGGTTAATTAAGGGGATGCAATGAGAACTGTTAAGTGTCTCCATAAGTAATTTCTTACTGAAGTAACTGTTCAGAGAACTAGACACAGCAATTCTGGTATAGTCCTGAGCAACACATAGTTCAAGTCTTGAAGATGCACTCTGTAATAAAGAATGCTAAAATTCAATGTTAAAATAGTTGTTTCAGCTTTTTTGCCTTACCAGAGTAACATTTATGTTCAAGAACGGAAATAACATGAAAAGGAGGGATCTAATCAAAAGGTTCAGTTAAAAGGATAAAGTGCTTTTAGGTGGTAGCTATGGAAGACCCCGTATGTGTATATTCCTTATGAAAATGACTCAGAAACGACCTAGGAAAAATCAGCATAGTTGTATATCAGGTGACCGGATGTAAAACAAAACATCCTTCGAAAAAAACAGGAAGCACATTCAAGTGAAGAAATAGGACAGAGCATAAACTCTGACAGGGACTAACAGGCCACAGAAGATCGATTAGCAAATTGCCAGCAGCATAAAGATTAGCAATAAAAACTGTTTATGCACATCAGAAGCAGGAAGTTGGCCAGAGAGTCTGTGGGTCTTATAGATTAGTGAGGTGTAAAAGGAGCACTAAAGACAAATAATGGCAGAGCAGAAGAACTAAATGGTTTATATGTATTGATGTTCCCTCCTGAGGAGCTTGGGGAGTTCCCTACACCAGAGTCTCTCCTTATGGGGAATGCTCTGAGGAGCTGACTCAAGCTGAAGCATCAGTTGAAGAGGTTTTAGAATATATCAATCAGATGAAAAGTACTGTGTTGCCAGGACCAGCTGGTGCACACACAAGATCCTAAATGCACTCCAGTATGAAATTGCGGACTACTAAGCCTGAATATCTGAGGAACAGAAGGGGACAAGTGCAATGCCAATTTTTAAAACAGTTCACAGTGATCCACAAAGTGCAGATCAGTAAATCTGGCTTCTCTGATGGGCAGACAAACTGAAACCAATAAGTAATAGCTGGCACACGTAAGGAAGAATCTTGCAGACTGACATTATGACTTGCAAATCTATTAGAACTGTTTGGAGGAATCGGAGAGTATGGTACTTGTAACAGTGATCTAGCTGAGGAATTATTCTTGCATTTCTGAAAGTTTTTTGACAAGGTCCCTCATACAAAGCTACGCAGGAAAGTTCTTTCTGAGCTGGAAGGAAGCTCATGTGGCTATATCCTGGTTAGCAGGAAGCAAAGAGGGGGAATAAATTATCCATTTTCACAGTGAAAAGATAGGAGAATCAGAAGAATAGAGAATCTGTGAAAGCATTTACCTAGGTGTGGATGCGTAGCGATGGGCTCTGAATTGAGAAAGGGATTCTGGGATTCACTGTGGAAGTTATCTGAAAATCTCATTGCCTTGCTCAGTGATAGAATAGTAAATATGATTAGGAAGGTAATAAACACTAAAAGCAAATAATACATTTAAGCCTCTATTTAAAATCCATGGATATCTCGAATATTGTTCATGGCGCTCTAGTTTCCACTTTCAAAAAAGTTATAGTAAAACAGGAAAAGATAAAGAGAAGATGACAGGAAGGATCAGAGACATGAAATAACTTCCCTTTGAAGACAAACAAATAAACTGCAAGTCTCAGCTTGGGACAGAGTTAACCAATCTGGGGAATTGCTAATAACTGATGATAGAATGAGAAAGGTAAATGAAGAATGATTATTCGTTTTTTTTCTCGTGCTACAACAACTAGGGGAATTTGTAAAATCGTAAGGCAACAGATTTAAATTAAACAACAGAAATTGGAATCGAAGAACTAATTGCCACAGGATATCATGAAGGCTAGATGAATAAGCATTAAGAAAGGGAAGATGCACATTTATGGAGGGTGTGTGCTTTGATGGCCGTTTAACAGGATGGCTGGAGATAATCTCCAGCTCAGGGAAAATCTAAACAACTAGTTGCACAAATGTGGCAACGTGCAGGAAATATCACTCAGTATTTGCTTTCTTTGTTACACTTTTTCCGAAAGCATCTGCCAGTAGCCGCCTTGTAAATTGAACACTGCGCTAGATGGGCATACGTGGTTATTTTTACAATATGAGGCAAACATTACTCTTAAAGCAATTACCCCTTCAGTAGATAAGGCAGATGGAAATACTAAGAGAAGAAAATACAACAATTCTATGATTTGCTTTATTAAAATGAGAGGTTATTCCTCTGATTTTGTAATAGTTTTTTTATCAGACCTCTTTGACTAGAAAAGATCTGAAAAAACATCTGGATTTACATAGTAATTATAGAAGAAAACTTTCATCTCAAATGGAGATTTATTGCACCTTAATGCCCTTTTCTTTCTTGATACTAATATTAGAAGTTAAGAAAGTAAACAGTTGAGAAACATTAATTCATTAGCCCAAAAGCTCACGTATTTAACACAGTAGACTTTTAAAAAGTGCTTATCTCCTTTAAACCCAGTATGCTAGTTTGGAAGGCAGCTTGCAAAGTGCTGTGTGTTTGGTGCCTGGTGATCAGGGAAGTAACTCTTACGCTGTTTTGAAAATACCATCTTTGGGAGTTACAGTTTTTATCTGTTTGTGTGTTGCTTTCAGTTTTGCTTCAAAGTCTATTTGACTTCATATTCGTTGCAAGTCTTTAAGTGCAATTAGTTTTATGTCAAACGTTTTATGCTCAAGTTTTTAGCTTCGGACATTATATGGGAATTGTTTTAATTTGACAATTTTACATGTTTTGTAAAAAACAGTTTATAAGAGGCAGCTTTATGAACGTTGGGCTGGCATGAGTTTGCTGGCAGTGGACCTTTCGCTACTGAGCTTCGTGCTTTTCAATATGAATACTAATCGAGTTGTTTCCCTGTTGAAGCTGCCTGTGCTAATCAGCGCCCTGACCTGTTTGGTTGTGCTATTGCCCAAGTGGGAGTGATGGATATGCTCAAGTTCCACAAGTACACGATCGGTCATGCTTGGACTACTGACTACGGTTGCTCTGACTGTAAAGAGCAGTTTGAATGGCTTTGCAAGTAAGTGCCTTTCGCTATTTTTTTGGTTGTTAAAACGCATAGTCTGCTTGATAGTTGTAAGTTATAATAAATAGCTATTCTAAGAATTACATTATCCTTTCTCACACGGGGTTGGGAGGGTTCAGAATTTCTTTACAAGTCAGTTTTGCATGGAAGATTGTCTTCAAAACCCCATTGAGTCAGCTGGTCATGTTTTCAAAGACTTATGTTCTACTGTTTAACAGCTTAGGAACAACTTTCTTTTCTGTATTATGACTCCTTTTTTTGGGAGGCTGTCAAAACAGAATACTCTCAAGTGAACCACTACACAAATTGTATTTTTTTGCGGTGGGGGAGAGACGATCACCACTGTGAATTGCATTACACAATGTGGATAGGATTTATTTATGTGAATTGATTGGGAGTAGACCACAACAGGATGTTAATTAAGTTCTTAACTTCTTGCTGAGGGGCCTGGAAATATTCTTTAAAAAAAATAAGAAAACAGAGAGCGAGCTGTGTGAGAACAGAAATGGGCTGCACATTGGATAAGGCTAATAATGAATGTGTTAGAATAAGTGCCATCATTTCAAATTTTTTTCCAGCACCTCATCTCCTATTACTACTTTTATATTCCTTTAATAATGAAGATTGATATTACAGGAGAATGCCTCAAACATACTAAACAATTTGACTGGTTTAGCCTAGTGGATTTCTAACTTCCTAACTTAGTATTTAGATACTAAAAAATAGATGTGCTACAGGTACACTGAGGTCAAACTTGATCTAAAGCATTTATTTTTAAAAAAATCAATGTCAGGTCCAAATACTAGATGATCAGTTAAGCCCATTGTAATTAGATTGTTTCTAGACCTCCATTTGTCCAGTTTAAGCTTTCAGTTGAAAACACAATTTTGTAAATAAATATAATGCACAGAACAGTTAACAAATTTTATAATTCACCTTTTGTTAATAGCTTTCCAAAAAAGATTAACTGTTACAAAATTAATCCAAATGATCTTCATAATTTTGGGCAGTGAAACTTCCCTGCCCATATGTGAATTCAGATATTCTCAAGTGGAGAAGTAGAAGCACAGCTGTAAATTTATTCTGTGAGTAGGAAAAATGCTTCTGTAGAAGGGAGTCACCTTATACCTGCTTATGCACACGCTCACTGTAGCTCTCTCAAAATCTCAGTATGCAGTTTTAAAAACTTTTATGGTAATGGCTGAACTATCTCTTTTTTTCCAGATGGGAAAATTTGTTTAAGCTGCTTTGCCTCCTGTTAAACAACTGGCAATTTCTTGTCAAATGTAGCAAGATACTGTATAATGTTGTTTAGATCCTGTCATTGCAAATATGCTAAAAATAGAGTGCCCTGTACTGACCATTATTTAACTTTTTTCAAAACAGTCATAGCGCTGCAAATTCTCATTGTTCCTTAGATGAAAATAAGGAAGTTAGAAATCTGTTAGGTTAAACATTCAAATATTGTCACATTTTCATAAAAATAATTTGGATTTACTTAGTGGATACTCCTCCAAATGTGAAGTTAATTTAAAAAATAAAGCGAAATTCCCTTCTGTATTTCCTGTCATGAGATAGGAAAAAAATAATATCCTACTCTTGCTTTTAGGAATGCAGCATTCTTTCTAGGTGTTGCTTTGCCTGAGTGATATATGAAATTGTTAGGTAGAATTCTTTAAGACTTACTATTAGATTCATTTCTAATGCCAGAAAGTATTTGTTTTGAGATATATAGATGCATCTTTTATGTTATGTTGCAGTAGTGAAGAGATGTAAATTTTCCTGCAGGGAAAACAGATTTTGTAAGTTAGGTCATCCATTGTTCAAGAAATATGAATCAAAGTTATCCGTTGAAGGCAGGAAAATTTACAGTTCTCCTCTCAGTTTCCTACATGGTATTCCCTCGGAGTGCATCTATGTTCAAACGGGGTCTGAAGATTGGAGGGACCGAATTTAAAAACTGTACGCCACTTGCAGCTTACCATCAGAGACTGTATCCAAATTTGCATGCAAAAAAAAGCCATGCACATGCAGACCTGGGCTATGTATATATGCTGGGAAAATGTCTCATTTCCCTGTTTCCAGCACGATGGATCCTGCAGTGAACTTCACAGCTTGTGCTGTAGGTTTACCTGATATCCATTCCTGATATTTTTGGTATTGCTGTGAGATGTCTGCGTATGCCTCCAAAATTAGAGAAATGTACTTGCTTCATGTTTGAGAGCCAGAGAACTGTAGCCACTATTATACATCAGTTGCCAGTAGTGCAATACTGATTTTTGCAACTGAGAATTGTGATATTCTGAGTGCTATCAAATGCCACTGTAGTGATTTCAATATGAGATGCCCTTCTGGTTGGGCCTTGAGGAAAAAATATGTGAATATTTGTGTGCTCTTCTCAGGTACTCTCCACTTCACAATATCAAGCTACCAGAAGAAGATGGCATCCAGTATCCCTCTACACTGCTTCTTACAGCAGACCACGATGATCGTGTGGTCCCTCTACATTCACTGAAGTTTATTGCTACTCTGCAATATGTTGTGGGCCGAAGCCGTAAACAAACCAATCCGCTTCTCATCCATGTTGACACGAAGGCTGGGCATGGAGCAGGAAAGCCAACTGCTAAAGTTATAGAAGAAGTGTCAGATATGTTTGCTTTTATAGCGCGATGCCTAAATCTTGATTGGATTGAATAGGCAAAATGCTTGTTACAGTCTCTTTTAGAAAACAAGGGCTTTAACACCATTTAAGACCAACCAGACTACTACGTGGTGTAGTACTTACATTTAAGAACTGCAGTTTCATATTTTATTGATCCAATCTGCTATGGAGTTTTGATCTTCTGTGCTTCCCTCTTTTTAGCGTTTCTTTGAATTTCTTTTCTACTGCGTTCCAAAGTACATTTTAAATAGCATGTTCAAATAAATAGCTGAGCTACTGTCAGTGCTGTTGTGAACAGTTAGATTCCAGAGTTTAGTGCTAGTTGGGCTTATTTCATGTAAGCAATTTTAATGTATTTTGCACCTATAAACATATCCAGATCATCTGTAATTAAATGTAAGTACTGTCCCCGTACTCTGAGCATACTTTTATTTACACAGTAATTTATTTAAGAATGTAAATTGAAAAGGTTCAGTGATAAGCATGAAATACTGAAGAGCAGGTAATCTGGGTAATTAAGTCAAACACTATTGAAAAGCTTATATTTCATGTTGTTCATGACAGTATATTACCGTCTGTAATAATGATGTTGCTAAATTGTTTTTTCTTTCCAAAGAGGCTTCCAAATGTCCCCAATTTTCCTTCATTTATTTCCACATAGAATAGAAATTGGAGGCTGGAAAACTTAAAGAATTCTTAGAATCTCACTGTAATCTTTGTCAAATTGCACAGACACTCTTAACTATTGCCTGTCTACTGCTAGCTCTTTAACTATTTCTCAACAGCAGACCAGACATGGGTAAAAAAAACAGACCAGATTGTTAAATTCGGTTTTTCCTCATGCTTTTTACAGAATGTTCTAAAACAAGCCAAAATCCGAACATACATGTAATCTGCTTCTGGCTGCAGAACAGCAAGAGCACATAGTCAGATTCCATAATGATTTGACAGACACACAGGATTTGAACTGCCATTTCATATCTTTCCCATCTAGGCTGTAAAGCTATTAAGTAGATGTGAATATTTGCTTTTAAGCTGCCTGAACTGCAGTGCAGTGCTGCAATTAGCTTTTGATTTTGCAAAGCAAAAAGATGTTCTACCAATTATTAGTAGTCCTGTTGCCCCTCCAGAAAACACTATCATTTCTCAGTGTTGGATAACCTAATAGTATACTTTTCCAGAATCATGCTTGTCACATTCATACTCAGACCCTTAGGCTGTATTTTAACTCTGAGCTCAGAGTTTTATGTTTAAGTAAGCAGTATCTCAGCCTGGGAAGAGGAGGAAGTGGTGTCTAAAGAGGAGCAGGCTGCTGTTTATTTGTACCGGATTTACATTATGTTTCTTTCACACTGTGAGGCTTCTGCTGATTCCCTCTACAATCCAGGAAGGATCATTCCTCCCAGTCCCTAGTAATTTGTAATTTGATTTCAGGAGGAAAAACAAGGATTTCTGCTTTCCTATGAAGTATCAGAGAGTACCATACCTAAACCCTGGATGTGGCCTGGCGTGGGTTTGTATTCCATGCACATTATAGTTTCTTTCAGGTACCTTATGGACTGATGTGGCCTATCACAGCATTGAATTAGACGATCAGACCAGTAAGTTGAGAAGCGGGAGGTTTTTTCCCTCCAGGCTGTGCAAATGGGGTTCAGGTTTTCCCCCTCCCCCCCGCATAGTTCAGGGATGTGAACTGCTTTCCGAGACATCTGGGAAGTTTCAACAGCTGCCCTGCAATGGCAGAAACAAAGCACACAAACCATCTTTGCTTGTAGTATCTCACAGTTGCCTCATCTGGCCTTTTATTGAATGCTGTAATATCATTAGAGGGCGGTAATAGGAGCTTTGCAGGTTAGCGTGTGGAAAACCCATTCTTTGGACCTTTGTGAAACAGGCATGAATTGTATCCATGCCTTGGATGGCAGAGACTGTGACACAGCCTCCTCAGGCGTCCACAATAATCCACTTTTTTCCTGAAGTTTTGTGCTGAGCCGAGCTCCCTGAATGACTCAGAATCAGGTCAGAGGACCAGTAATGTGAGGAGTTTGAAAACTGCCTGAGTGGCAATTCAAAGTAGCAAAGGTGGAGCTGGTTTTGAGACACTACTCCCAAAAGGAGAAGAGTTCAAGAGCATCCCTTGTAGAGTGCTGGTATCTCAATGAGAAAGGCATTTTGTTTTCATAACAAGGTCTTAATTTTTACATTTTATTTGATCTTCCTTGGGTATGCCAAGTAGGGGATTCAGGTGCCAAGAAAGGATGCTGTAGAGCTGTACTTTTAGCTGAATTGCTCCTTTCAGCACAGAAGTGTCATGGCTCCAAGTAGAAACCATAATTAGCTCAGAGCAAGTAATGCTCTTGTAATATAGCGGGATTTAAACTTTCAGAGTTTGGATTAGATATACTTGGAACCCTACCATTTCTGCTATATAAAGCCATAATGAAATCTCAGTTAATCCGATGTCAAGGTTAACTGCTTTTCTCTGCTGTTTCATGGAGAGGCTCTGTATTTTGTGCCTTTTACTTCAAGTGCACGAAGCAGAATTCATTAGGTGGATACAGGACAAGGTAACCTCCTCACAGCAACTTTTTCAAAAATCGTGTTTCATACAAAAATTGATGCCAATGTTTTGTGCCAAGACCAAAAACAGAAAAATCTTTAAAGTCATATAGGAGGCTTATGTTACATGAACCAAAATCTGTTTTTAAGTGGAAATAAAAGAATAAATTTCTACATGTTGCTCACTTCTGATATTCTTCACAATTAACATACGTCTTAGTTGCTTTCGCTCCAATGAGAATACATTGGCATCAGAACTGATTTATGTGAAAAAGGTCAGAAATATTTTTAAAGCATCATCTTTTAGAGAGTCTTCATATTCTTCACAGAAAGAGATATTTGAATTCCCTCACATTAGAGTTAGTGTAAATTTTGGTGGCTACCCAAAGAACATACTGACTTTGAATGGGTGCTGCACCCTCCCAGCAATACAACCACAAGATCTAAGGACGGAACAAGGGCAGCTGGTCTCTGGCTATATAAGAGTAAAGGCCACTCCAGACAGATTTGGAGCCACCTGCTCTTGGCAACCAGGACTTGCCTTGTACCCATATTTTCTTGACTCTACCTTGCCATCTGTCTGTAGAAAGGCAGAAACATGAGCTGCAGTACTTTTGGATTTGATACTGCAAGCAACAGCTTTCAAACATCTATGTTGTCAGGTCATTTCTTTATTTTTAGCCTAAGGTAGCCCCTCAGGATTGCAGAAGAATCTGCTTATAGACTCTTCCTGACAGCCTCTCCTCTGAAGGGGGTTTTCCAAGCTGGGTAGGATTTAGCAGGGAGAGCCAAGGGAGGGACTTGGAAGCCAAGCTAGTAAACAGCCACCCACTGTTCTGCCAAGATCTTCTACTTTGGAAATCTTTAGTAGGCAACTTCGGTGCAATTGCGCCTTCATGCAGACCCCTTGGGATTTTGGATAATCCGTGCTGTTTGAACAGCCAGGTTTGGCAACTTTTTTCGTCTCCCCGTATGTTCTTTGAATTACTTCTGTCTTACTATTATTGCATGCCAAGGAAAGCAAACGTGTTCCTCTGGCCTTTTTTTTTCCTTACCCATGTGGGAAGGGGAGGTGGGATGTCCTTCTGTTTCTCATGTCTCTTGAGATAACCAACCTGATACTTGTTAAAAGGTGTGTCTTCACATAACATTATTCCGTGAATAGCCATTTCTGAATGATCTCATGTCTTTAGTTTATTCATGGAAGAGAAATCCCATTGATGGAGTCCCTCAGTGGAAGCTAGGCTAGCTACTGGCATCTACAGAAATACACTGAAATTCTAGATTTTACTCTAGTTGGAGTAACAGAGGAACGGAATAAACTTGCTGTTCACTCTCTTGCCCACAGCAGGGTAAGTTTAATGCTGAAGCTCTGAGCGGCAAGAGTCAATTCATGGTGGTTTTTGCTAAAGCTTTCTAGCTTCCACAGCAGATGCAGCATGAGAGCTGGAGTCAATGGATCAGCATCGCTGCAAACCTGACGTTTCTACCCTGCCAGGTGCTGTTTGGAAGCCAACAGTTTATACACGTGCCTTATTTTCACTGCATATCAGGCCTTCTGTGCCCAAAAAGGAAGGAGACGTTCTTTCGGAACCCCTTGAAGAGGGTGAGGTTTGCATGTGATTTTAACAAACATACGTGTTACATATACATTTGATAGTGCTAACTGAAATATTAAGGTAGACATTTTTCTATTACCTAAACAGTGCAATTTTAAGCCCAAAATATTATTTATAATTTTCATCTTGACGTCACTATAAGGGGGAAAATCAGAAGAAAAGCAACAGAGTGGCTTCATTTTATAGTGTTCCTCTTGATTTGTTCCTCCAGGATACTAGAAGAACGTGTGTTGTATGGATTCTAAAATAAGCATCCTATTTTGCTGTCATTCTCCCAGAAACGGGATGTGGAATTTCCTTGTTTCAGGAAACAAGATCATATTAGAAGTGCAAGATTGCATGCAGTAAAGCTACGAACAGGCTGTAGGTTGAGTTGCATGAAATACCTTAATTCAGCAGAGGCACCTGGGCTCATAGGTGGTAATTCCTTTTAGGCCTGAACACCATCATTTCCATGCTGCTTTTCTTTCCATGTGAAGACCTGTACATAACCTCTAACATCTCAGGAGACAAGCAGATGAACATTAGGATATATTGCATTTCAGTGATGCTATCCAATATACCCTTTACTCTTGTGGGACTCTGAAAGTGCCGGAAGACAGTAGCAACACTAAAAAAATCATGGTTTGCTCTGACATCTAGCAGTCATTGAACAATGGTTACTTGTCCCCAAGTAACAGAGGAATTTAGTCATTAGTTAAGCACTAGTTAATGCAATTTTTCCGAAGGTCTGATGAGATTGTTTGGCTGGTGAAAAACTGCTTTCTGTGCTGCTTTGTGCTCGTGGACTATTTCCTGGTGTGCAGCAAGAGCATGCCCTTTTGACAGCAAATGACCAAGCACTGTGATATGGACTGTTCTTTCCCTCCTGGGGAAGAAACTGAATAAAGGGTTCAGTTATTTGACTGCTCAGAATCCTTTGGAGTTGTGGCAAGAACAGATAAGCAATACTCAGTGTTTTCTGTGTATTTCAAATGAAACAGTGTAATTTCTCAAAAAAATATGATGTTTTCTGGTAATGTTATATTTTCAAAGGAAGTTCTGCTGTAGTACAGCATGCCTTGAAATGTAGGTATGTGCAGATATCTATTTCTGCATCTCGGCTAAGTTGGTAAGCACATTTAACCATTTGTGCAGATAATTAACGTCTTGCTGGTTTGCACTGAAATTGGTTTTAGGTTTTAGCTTAAAGCTTCTCAGTTAGAAAGATGGGGTTTCGTCATGTGTATACACCTGGAATAAAACTATAGACTAAAGACCCCTCATAAGGGCCCAAGCTTCAGTTTGTATATGGTTTACTTTGCATCTTGCATTTCATTGGATAGGGATGCGTTTTAGGAAAAAGTGCATTACTGTTAAAAAAAAAAAAAAAAGCCATAAACATTAATGATAAGGGCCTCTAAATTGCAGAACTTGGGAGACCTTTATTGCTGGCTGTATGTAAACAGACCTCAGACCTTCTGGTGTATTTTGGCATTAAGGAGACTGCTTTTCCTAATTAGAGTTGCCCAGACCTCTTTGAGCTCCGAGGGAGGGCAGATCCAAATCTGGTCTTTGCAATAGCACCCATCACTTGGAATTCCTAAAAGAAAAAGAAAAAGTTCTTGAAATTCTCTCCTTTTTTTTTTTTTTTTTTTCCCAATGTGAATATCCTCCAGCACTAGCATGGAGAGCTTTGGCTGCCAAGGACAGACTGGAAAACATCCTCCTCTCACAGATGACAGTCACTCACACAACAACGCAGTCATTAAACAGTTTGCTGCCGTGGGCCTGCTGCCCATTCTTCCCGTATGGTGGAGGCTTCCCAAACCTTTGCGCTTGCCAGAGGAAGTAGATTGAGGGGGAAGGGTATCAAAGTTACAAAATTGCTTCCAGCTAATGAATTAGAAACCCTATTGAGACCATTTCATTAGAGCTTTTGGACAGCATTTGTTATTTTTGATGCTTGTTCCCTTTGGTGAGAATTAAGCAGCCTGTTCTGCCAACTGGGGACAGCAATGCTGGGTGAGAGAAGGAAGGACTGTGATGGTGCACATCACCTGGAGAGGCATGCTGGAAAGCATGCTTTCAGGTAAGTTGGGTTTAATACCAAAGTGCATTGATTTACCTCATTAAGTTCTTTTCAAGGGAATATCCATGTGAGTATTGACTGCAGAGGGTAGTCAAATCCTATTTAGTCCATCAGAGTGGCTGGGCCCCCCTTGCCATGAGGGGAAGATACCTATTGCAGCATGACCTGTCAGAAACACAGGGAACAATCACCGGCCAAATACAAGAGTGTTACATGTCTTAGTGGATAACCAAATAAGAACTATGTATCTTTATTTTCGCATGCACACACCTGTGGAGCTAAAGGAAGAGCTGTACCCCCTAACTTTCAGAGGCAGGTTTTGTAGTGTGTTGGCTGTAGCTCATCCCGAGCTCCTGAATCAGCCATTGTGCTGGTGCTTAGCTGTAGTCACTGAACTGTGGAAGTTCTCTATTTGGCTGTTATTTTAGGAGCTGAGAATAAAGTACAAGTGACCTGAAGAGGGATGTGATAGATTGACTCATTTAACCACTCAGCCACTTAACCCTGCTCTGCAGGCCTTGATCCAAGGTTGACATCAGCGCAGGATGCTGTAGGGCAGCCTCCGTTAGCAGCTGAGGGCCATGGAGCTGCAGTGGAGGACAGATTTTGGTCAGGAGAGTTGGCTGTCTCTAGCCTGCTGGAAAGGCGCAGCAGCTTCTAGCTGAGCCTCCCCTTCTGGCCACCCACCACATTGCTAGCAGGGATCTTCTCTGCGATGTGGCAGTGTGCCAGGGCCTGGACAGTGCCCCGATGCCAGCTCTGTTGCAGGCTCCCCTGAGGGCTTAGGTCCTCCATTAGCACCCCTTCCCCCAGAGAGCTGGATCCACAGCCTTGCTCCCAGTCCCCGGAGCTGAGAAGGGGCACGAGGGGCTCCCACGAGCCATCCCTGGGCATCGTGGGACCACCACATGCAACACCCAGCACAGGCAGATGCTGTTGGACACCGCAGGTACGTCCCTGCTATCAACCAGCAGGATGACTCCTAAATTTTTTCTATGTGATGGCAGTCCCTGTGAAAAGGTTATGATTGCCAAGCACGTCTGTCAAGCTCGAGAGCTTCTTACTCATTTCCTGGGGTTTCCCAGGGGAAGGATGGGCTGTTGGCTACACGTGTTGGGAGCAGCAAGGACTGGCTGCTCCTGAGGGAAGGGGAGCCAGAAGCCAAGGGTGACCCCGGTGCCAGCCGTGCCCTCACCTGCAGGGTCTGACGAAGGCAGACAGAGGCGAGTGTTGGTAACTGGCTCTGTCTGCAAACTCAGATATGGCAAAGGAATTAACGAGGCCCAAGGCCTGGGGAGTCCAGTCAGGACCAAGAGGAGACATGGCCAGAGACAGGGCTGGAGACAAGCTACAACACATATCCAAGGGGGTCCAGCCAGGAGACCAGTTACCTACAGCGTAGGGCCAGGTCCATGCCAGGGCAGGGCTGCAGATGGCACAGCTGCAGCCCAACTCGGGCAGGGTCTAGGGCTGGGCCTGAGCCG